CAGTTTTTGGTTATTTTTGAGGAAACTTATTTGTTAAAAAAAGTTCTTTTGATAAATAGGATTTTTATATGAATCTATTTGTTCTTTTGTCAACCTTGACTCTTAGAATAAAATCTTTAATTGTTAGCTGGCAGTATAAATGAGAAGCAGATTTGTCTCAAAATGATCAACATCACAATTGGTGATACGAAATGAAGTCTTCTTCTAATTTCACCCTCAGCTTGGTGCCTTCATGGGTAGCTTTTTTTTTCTTTCAAGGAGAAACTAGGAGTTTAACTTGGTGTCATACAAACGAAACCAGTGCAGTAACAAGGAATATTTGAAGGCAGTTTTAGATGTTGTTTAGAATTAGCGCCCTTTCTTTGAACCTACCAAGAACTAATGAAAACAAACTGTTGAGGTTTGTACTGACAGGGTGCACTGTGTGTTAAACATAATTGCTCCACATCTGATAAAATCAAAAGTTTGGGCTTTGGTAAATGCATCATTTTATTTGAAACTTTTTCTCGTTTTTTTCTTTTGCTCAACTAACAGCAACTGTAAAAAGATTATATTGTTTCAGGAAAAAATTCTCTAAAAAGTTTTTTCATTGATAGTTTTCTGTGGTAAATGAACTAATTGAGGAAGTGTTATTGGGTGTTTGATGGATTCTGGCAAACGCAAACACGGACATAGACTACACTAATGATAACGTAAATATTTTTATGTATTGTTGTTAAGTTGTTTCTTTTACAAAAAACACACATATATATTTCAAAGAGAGTAATCAGCAATTAGAATCTAATGGGCTTTGTTTTCAGACAGTAAAGTGAAATGCGGTTGCGCAATTTAGTGATGAGTTTTCATGCAGTTGCAGTTGATTTCTGTTGCTGTAATGTATTGTTATTTTTGCTGTTTTTGGCCAACTGTTGAATCTAATGTGACTGGTGAATTTTTTTCTGCTTTTTACCATAATACTCTAACATTCTTATGAATGCCGTAAATAAACAACAGTCATTTTTACACTGTTTGATAAACCACAGTTAACATAATGCGAATGGTATTTTTGAATAAAGCCTAAAATAGCGGACTTTAGAATAAGCATTTTCTAGGATTTCAAATATGCAAAAGTGGTTATGTATACAATAAGATTTACGATGGATGCTACAAATTTGTAGGTTGTTTATATTCAGTGTTTTATTCTTGCGCATGGATCTACGCCTATTCTAAGCACAAATTTTAGTTGGTTACCAGGCTGATTAAATGTATTGTTACGGATAGTAATACAAAAAATTTGTGCAATTTTTTTCCGTCCTTAAACTTAACGACGGGGAATAATATATGTTAAAATTTTTATTTTCAAAAAAATAAAATAGCAAAGACAACACAAAAAATGAAAAAAAGTTTTTTTTTATTAGCACCCAAAAAAATAACGGTTCAATGAAAACTGTTTTTTCTTCCCGGTAAATTCGACTTAAATTTCATAAAATACTAAATATAGAATTGATGCTTACAGACTGACATCACATAAATATACACTTTATAATGCACAAATAATATACCGTTCAACAAACTTTTTTTTTGCTTCTGTTTAGGTTTCAAATAAAGTAACACATAAACTTGCAAAAATTATTTGTGAAAACGAAAATTCAACACTTGTATCCTACAGAACTCAAGCAGAACGTGAATTTGTTGTTGACAGTAAGTGATACGCGTAATATAATTGACGTTGGTAGAATTTGTTGATTGAACGCTATCAGATATATTTAAAATTTATATATTTACAAATGCAGCAAATCGGAAGACTACTTATACGATCACATAAATAAAACTTATCTTATAAAGCAAACAAAAAACATAATTTTATCATTAACTTTGAACACAGTCAATACAATAAGGCCACTTTTTCAGTAGATTTTAAACCAGAGAAAAAGAATCACTTTTATTGAAAAAAATGTTACAAAATATATTTTATGTATAATTCTAGTTTTTTTCTCTCAGACTGACAAATAATAAAGTTATTAACTTTTTTTTTTCTTACATTTATTAATTATAAGTTTAACACGTACAAAATAAACAAAAAAAAAACGAAATACAGCTATGTGATAGCACTATTTTTGGCCATTTTATAAAACTTATAAAAATTTTTAATAGAGCGAGATTATTACGTAAATGCTAACTGTTATAGAATTAAGTAGAAAAGATAGTTTTTGGATTGGACTAAAGTGGCTTGTTAGTGGTTATAAATGGGATGATAGCGACGTACTGAAAGGATTTTTTATGTGGACTACAGCAATGTCACCAGTAAACGGTGACGAACTGTTGACCTGTGTCAGAGATCACCATCGTTACCGAATGAAAGTTGTCAGCTGTCGTGAAAAATTTTCATTTATTTGCCGATATAAGGGTAGCATTTTTTCAAAACAATTTCCTTGTACTACCAGTAGTATCAACAAACTTTTACGGAGTTTAGTTTGCAGAATAATAAATTTACAGAAGAAGAAAAGTCAAAAAAATATTAACAAATTTGTCAAGATTACCAAAACAAAAAGTTTCTTATTTAGTGCTTTTAAAATATACTTATCAAAAAAATTTATAATAAAACGTTTTTTTGTATTTATTTAGGCAGAAATTTACTGTACCAAAGTTGAATTTAGTTGACAATAAAAAAAAATTAAATTGTTTTTATTTCAGAGTCAGCATTTTGTAGACCCAAATGGAAAGAATTTAAAAATAATTGCTATCTGTTTGTCGTACGTTAAACTTTTATCTATTTTCACTGTTGTTTTTTCCTCTTTTCTACAACTCTTATACTTTTATTTTGCTACTGCTATCAATTTTTTGATATTTCTATTTTAACTTTAATATCAAAAATTTTACAGTTGAAAAGTAACTTTTTTTGCATATAAAAGTTTCTTATTTTGTCCCAAAAAAGTTTAGAAAATTTTACAGTTTGAACATATAAAAAGTTGACACTATCAGCTTTGGAGGTTTACTAAAATCACCGTACGACATTTGTTTTATTAATGTAAGGTAACAGGTCGGTAATAAGCAACAGTTATCCATTAAGATTTACAACCACTGTCTTCAGAGGCATCGTTCAGTGTTTAGACAACAAATAAATATAAAATTAGAACTCAATTAAAATGAAAAAAAAAGATTGCTATTATTATATATGCTGAAGATAGGCTATATTATTTGCTGGTCAGAACATAAAAACCTTTTCAATTTGTACAGATAAAAGACATGATCATTGACAAAGTGTTTCAAAAAACTTATGAAATTGAGCAGCAAAAAGAAGGACAATGATAATGTGTATATTTATTTATTCACATAAATCGCTCAAAGAAGCAAATTTGTGTTTACGTAATGAGTTTTTGACAAATATATAATTGCAGTGACAGATCGTACTATTTCTCATACCAAATCATCCAAAATAACACCTTACTGTTCTGCAGTACTTTTTTGGCTATCAGTAGTGGTGATAAGTATAATTATTCAGGAAATAAATTATCGATGATAATTTGTTTGTTAACACTGCTTTTATTACCAGTACCAACTGAATTGATGTGTTAAGTTTTGAAGACGAAATTCCAGCAGAATGAACGAATGAAATATGATAAAGCTTATGAATTATGTTGGCGACAACATTCTGTTTTGGCATACATTGAAGATTCCGCAGAAGATGAATACATAAAAAGTAAAATTTTTTTTTAATCATTATCAACTATAATTTAAAGCCTTATTTTTTCCACTTATTTTTTAGTAGCATTTTTTTTTCGTTTCGCCTACCTGTGTGTTGTCTTGGCAGTTGCCCTTTTTTTGTAGGAGAATTTGGTAATCAAACTTATTGGATAGGCATAAATTGTCAAAAAGATAGATGGTTAATGACCAACAGCGAACTTGCCTTTCATACAAATTGGATTCATAGACAGGCCAAAGGTTGTCCATTGAATGAAAAAGCTGTCTACGAAACTGATTATCCCGGTGGATGGAATATTACAGACAAAAATAGTAGCCATTATTATGCATGTAAACATAAAAGTCAGTAATCATTGATCATCTGCTGTTGCAGCTTTATCTCTACCGGCAAAACTTCATATCGGATTTTTTCTGCTTATTTCTTTCTCAGATTTTTTGCTCAAAAAAAAGAAAACGAATAAAAAGCAGGTTAAAGACAGAATTTAAAGACATTTTTACATTTTTTAATTTCCTCTCTTGTTTCTTTGATTTAGACAATCGTTTCAACAATGATTTATTGTTTCAGAGAATGTTTTATTTAGTGAACTGGCTAAGAAAATTCGCTTCAGTAAAACTGCCTCAGAAACTCGTCAGGTATATTTCTTTTACTAAATTATAATTAACTTTTTTCAGATAACTTACTATAAAAATATATCGGTATATTTTGATAAATATAAAAAAATTTTTTTTTGTAGAAGCCTCGTCACCGTAAAGAAGTATACTTTCTGCAAAGTAAGCTGTTTTTTTAGTAATTCTTGCATTGAAATAACCTATACTGCAGCTAAATATCTGTTGATTTTTTTTTGTTTGCTATAGATACTTATTAAAAATTGATATCAAACTTGGCTTAGGTACATAAGCAGCTATCTTTACAATACATACTACTACTTTAAGCGCACACTGATGAAAAAACTTCAGTTTATTTTAATAGGTTCAGTTCAAATTAGTTGCTCAAATGCGATGACTTATGCTTGCAGTTGTATGGATCTCAGCAACATTGGCAATACTGCTATCAACAGCAATCTTTTTATTGGTACTGCGACTTTGCTTAAAAGAGGATGATACTGAAACAATTATGCCAAAAGTTATTGCTGGTACTGCTGCCCATACCTGTCGTGCTCCTGTTCCTGATGTTACTGCTCCTACTACAATGATTCCTACCACTGCTTCTGCACATACTATTACTCCTGCTAGTACTTCGCTATCTCTTATTACTGCTACGACTACCATCCCAACTAATGCGACCACCAGTTCAATTTCTACGACCACGATGACGACTATTCCTACCACTCTAGATCCTAATCAAAGCACTTCTTTAGTTATTTCACTTACTTCACTTAGTCATAGTGAATCCTCTACTTCTGACACTGTTTCAACTACTTTTGCCAGTTCTGAACTGAGCACAGAATCATCGACAATAAGTTAAAAGCCAAAAAATGTTATAGACGGTAAATACCTAGTAGAAGGAATTAAAGAAATACTTTTTAGAAGATTTTATAAATAAGCGTTTTTTTTTGGTGACATTGAGTGAACATCAATATACAGCCTAACGTTCTGTTTCTCACAACACCATAAAGTCAGACAAGAAAAATTTTAAAAATTCTCAAAGAAGAATTCTTTATTGTTTTTTATCGACTTACAGAATAAAAGGTGGGAATTTCTACTCCAGAATATAAGAAGAAAGCAATAGTCTGTTTTGGTTACTATAAGATCTCAGCAGAATATTCGAGTGCATTATTTACTTGAGAAAAAATTACTTTTTTGATGATTTTTTTTATTACAGTAATTTTAATTACGCAGAGTTTAATGCATAAATGTTTATTGAAAGTTATGGCGTTTGATCTAGTCATTTTTATGCTTAACACTAAGTAAAACTGTAGTAGTTCACATGGTTAATAGAATTTTGAGAAAAGTTGATTACTTAGTAACCTTTGAATTTTAAAGAATAATTCAATTTTTTTCTAACAATGGCATTATTGCAAGTGAATGTCCGCACAAATCTGTTTGTTAAGAGATAAACAAGAAAGAAGTTTGAAAAAGTCTTGAAAAGTTTGAAAATGGCGAGAAGAAATAAAAAAACTTACTGAAGCTTCTGTAACTATTTTAGTTACCTTGTAACTCCTTGTATAAAACTCCCTAACAAATACTTTAATTTATATTCTAACTCCTATCTGCCTACACTGCCTAGGCTTAGTCTCAATTATCCCCTATCTCAACAGTTATAAAGATAGAGCTTTTTTCAACTTTATACACAATAATACAGATGGCCAACTTATTAATTCGTAAGTTACTCCACAACGATACACAAAATCAGATACAGCAATCGATAGTAACAGTTAAAAGTTAATAGCAGAGGAAAGCTTTAACACAGCACTCTTGTGATGGGATAACACCAACAGCGATTTCTCCAGCTCAGTCTCTTTCCTAATAATTCTCAAAAAGCACTATAAGCGCTAACAAAGGAACAGAGGAAACGAACCCAAACAGAAAGAAAGAAGAAAGGGAGATGTCCAAATGCTCGTTGCAATTTGCTTATGTAGCCTCTTGTTAGATGGTGTGCAATTATGTAAGTTTGCGGTCTTTTGTATGTTATGAACAACATTCCACAAAATACGTTTTGTTTTGCCAAATTCTTTTAACAATCCTTTTAAATTCAAAAGTTATTATATATTCCTATTGTTTTATTTGGTGCATTGCAACAGAAAATTTCATGCTGCAGACTTTTAGCTATAGATTTCTGATTTTAATCTTTATTTAATTGTTCAGTGCTGTTTAACTTCAGCGTTACATGAAATAAACCAAATTTCACAAGAAAAAGAGCCAATTAAGTGTACGATATATAATAATAAGAATAGAAAATTTAAAAAGATGAAGCAAATAAAATTTTCTGTTTGTCTGAGGAGTATAAAGCAAGATTTGAAATTTGGAAGGTTGCTACTTAAGACAGTAAATCCTAACTAGTACGTGCATCACGTATCTACAGACATTATTTCAAAGTAGTTAGCAGCTTTGTTGAGAGTATGTTAGATATTAGAAGCTTTTGATTTTTGAACGGTTGTGGTCAACCAGTTTTGTTGAATAGACAACTTTCCTTAAAAAATTAATAGTTTGATCAATTTAAAAAAGGTTGTGGTTACAACATTAGTTTAACAACGATTGTAGGCAAACTAAAAATATGATCTTCAGCAGCTTTAAAGTAATTACATTCCAACGATTTATAAATGTCAAACAGACTTGACAGCGTAGACTACGCAAATACTGCCGCACAAAAGTGATAATTTCGCAGAAGAGGGCTGTATCAACTAATAAACCAACATTTTCTAAGCATTAAATAAAAAAAATAAACGTAGACTGCTCGGAGTAAACCTCAGTGAACGACAACGAACAAAATTACAGCAGTTAGCATAGCTTATCTTGAAAAAAAATTCAGTATATTGAAAACCTTGCAGCATTCGTCAGGAACGTAGAGGTAACCTCAGCTATACACTTGTTGAAATACTCGCTTGTTCAATCAAACTCAGGAAGTCCTAAAAAATAAATATTCTTTAAATAATGACTAAGGAAGATCACACTGCCAAGCAAAATTAAAGTTGCTGTTTTACGTGTTGGTTTCTGCTAATATTTGAACTTCTTTTTGCTTGCATTCTAAAATAATTCAAGAAATTTTCACTTTCAAGCTTACCATAAAACTTGTAATTTTTGTCAGCGCTGATAATAACGTCGTAGGCTTCATTAACGATGTCTTCCAGACGGTTAAATAGCTCTTTGGTTCTCCGTTCTTCATTTTCTGGGTCACTTTTCATAAAGTCGGTATTACACCACATACCAATTGAGAATATCATCAAACATGCCATTAATGGTAGCATTCTTCGGTAATTTTCCTAAATGCTATCTGTGTATATTACTTTGTTTCCTATCAGCAAATTTTTGTTAATCACGTTGATTAATTCAAAAGATTTCAAAGCATAAATTGGACTTTTTTCACAAAGATAGATCTGTATCAGTCAGTAATTAAAAAGCTTTTTTTGGCTTATCACTTGCTTTTAAGAGGAAAATTTTGCAGTCGCCTCTACTCTCCTCCTATAATTACTTTTTCTGATCTTTGATTTTATTTAATCATTGACTTTACAACACCATTTCTAAACCAAATCTAAATCGCTAAATGTTTAATCATTTTTTTGACTTTGTATGTCTTTTTTCTCTTAATTGTTCCTTTTCACCTTCTTGATTCTTATCACTAATTACCATTGAGAAACACAAAATTAAATTGTAGGATCTGAAGTTAACAAGCACCTCAATGTTCTGCAACGTAAATGGTGCAGTTTTTCCTGTTTTAGCAAAAGTTCTTTGCAGCTCTTCGTAGTAGTACTCAAGGACTTTTTTCATTAGGACTCGTCTTGTTTTTGCCGAAACTCCAGTTATCGTCACCCTCTAAAAAAAGGCAGTTTGAAATTTAGCCAAGTTACTCAAGCAAAAAAAATTATTTTTATTAAATTATAACCGTTTAGCCTAAAACTATTGCTCTTTTAGACTAAAGGTCGTTTTCGAATAAAATAAATATCTAAAAACGATATATAAGATTAAATTGGTTACTGTAGAAATTTTGGAGCAACAAAAAGTTTTCTAAAGTTAGAATTTTTGATTAAAAGTTGACCATCAAATCCTCGGTAATAGCACCGCAGTGGCTCTGTTGCCAGTCTATAATTGCTTTCAGTTCATTTCCTTCCCATAGCAAATTTGATGTCCATAAGTCGCCATGTGCAATCACAGAATTTTTCTCTAGATATGCAGTACTGATCAATGTAACAGTCATCAAAGCTCAGCTTATAACAGCGGTTCATGATTAAATGTTACCAAAGTGCAAATAAAAGAAGAAAAAAGTTCCGGAATTAATCTGAATTGAAAAATTTGGTTTAGCGAACACTGCTTGAAGAAATGATTGTGAACAACAGAAAACAGTCAAAAGGATAAACCAGAAAGCAACAAAGTTGTTTCAAAAATTTTAGTACTTTTCTTATCGAGAAATTAAAATAGAAATTTACCATATCAGTACCAAAAAAGATAAACAAAAGTTTGCAACTGCATTTTCTTTATCTATCGTTTTCTTTCAGAAATTTAACGAAAAATTTTACTAAAAAATTTTTGTTTACCTTTTTCGCAAGTTATTTTATAATCCAAAAAGAATTCACCACCATTGAAAAGACCTATAACTTTGTCGCTCTTAAGGAAACACCCGGGAGCTTGAGCTTTCAGTTTCATCAAAAAGATTTCCACTGTCTGGATAAAACCGTGATCAGCAGGATATTTCTAAAGCAAAAAATTTAGTAAAAAATTCTTAAATTTTAAATAAGAAATCTATAAACAGTAACTGTTTTTTACAGCATATTTTACTGCTTGTTAATAATTCTTCTTTTTTTTAAATACAACTTTTACACTAAATTCTTATCTAGATTTAATTTGCAAAAATTATTGCAATTTTATACATTATTATGAGTTAAATTTTTTTTACCTGTAATTCAGAAATCTTTCGCCATTCACTGTTCGTTAATGAATAGTAGTGTAACTTTGCCAATTCATTAACAACTGCTTTTAGCTAAAAATAAAAAAATGGAACCTTTGGCTCAGAATAGCAGCAAAAAATTTATTGTAACATTGAAAAATTGAGTTAATAATTTAACTGCTCAATTGCACTAACTTGATCTGTATTCAATCCATTCATCATATCGATAACCTTGTATGCCCCGAGGTCTTCCATAACAATAATCGGATATTCGCCTGCACGTCGACCATCAGAGCAGTAGTAAATGCGTGGAATACAGAGCGGTGATGGTACAGCTAAAAATATGACAAGTAAACTTATAATTTAAGTTAAAATTTGACTAGTGTTTAACCTATTATTATTACCACTGTTATGATTATTATTACTGTTATTACTACTATTACAATCACCGTTATTTTCACCAGTATTATTACTAAAATTATTATTGTTGTTATTGTTATTGTTACCAATATCATTGTCACTATTATTTCCATTATCTTTATTGATACTTTTACCGTTTAGTGCACTAAAATTACTTAGTTTTTTTTCTTGCGTCAAAAAAATATCTCGTTGTTTATTCAATGAAAAAATGAAAAACCAAAAAATTAGAATGGAATGAATACAGGGAATGTAAAACTACTGAAATGGTTACTATAGAATAGGTTAACAAACATTTTGTGAATAGATTATAGTAGAAGCATTCATTTTGATGAAAAAATTTCATCAACTCCTCGAGTACTGCAGCATCAGTTGGAAGATCTGCTGCATCAAGAGTTTTTTGAGCATTTAATGCCTAAAAATTTTAATTTTTTTTCCTGATTAGACAGAAATAGTTTGTAGTATTTACATTTATAATTTATTATAAATGTGTTAAAATAACCCTGCTGTATTTCTACAGTTCTATAATTTTGTTAAGAAATACGTTGCTGTTAAATAAGCAAAATTTATTTCCTTTTTGATCTGCTCTAATTAGGTGACAAAACAAATAGCTTCTAATTTACTATCTTTTTCTTCCTACCTTAATAATGAGAGTTTTTGGCAAGTTTTTGCCTTTCCAAATTGGTTCAACACGATAAAGATCTGCTGTATATCCGACTGCTTCGTGAAGAGGTTGAGTCTGAAAGTACAAAAAAAAAAAGACATTCCTAATGAATCGCTTAGGTATTCAGATTTGTTTCAGTAAATTTACAGAAAATTTTTTGATTTGCATGAAAAATTATCACAAATATAGAAAGATAGTTGAAAGTTTGGCCAACAGTAGGTTAAAGTTTTTTTGTATGCAAACATAAATTTTTATAAAATTGTTTTCAGTTATTGGGTATGAACAATTCTAAAAATTATGTATAATTTTTCGCAAGTATTCGTGTGAATGCGTTATTTTTTATAGGTAACATTTCTTTTTCAATAAATTTCTGTTGATAGTAAAACACAAAGAATAGATAATTTTTGAAAAAAAAAATTAGAGAGGGAAACTGCTTTGGGAAACAGGTTTAAAATATGACAGTTTAGTCGCTTTTATAATTTTTTTCAAGATTGATACAATGAATTTGTTCACCACAAATCACCACAAATCATCAGACAACGATTTTTCGATGTTTCTGATTGTTTGAGAAACAATAATCAGTTGTTATAAGGTATAGCCGTAGAGAGATGCCTAAGATAGACAAAAATTATATCAATGTCAAAGGATGGCATAGAAATCTGGAAAATGACTTCTGTCTTAAACTGACTGGAATCACTGTTTTATATATCTAAGATAAAGTTTTTTTTTCGTCTTTCTCAACGCTTATAGCACTTATAATAGCAGACAATTTGAAATATCAATTTTTTCAAAAAAAAATTTTTGTTTTACAGTTAACAGAACAGAAAAGCGAAAGAAGTAATAAGCATAACAAATAACATTTTATAGTAAATTATTATAATAAAAAAATTAAGAAGACATTGTTTATTTGATAAAACTCTATAAACATTTCTAAATTTTAACTGTTAAATTTTGACACTTATAGTGTATAAGGTAATGTTGAAATTTCTTCAAATTAGGCAACTAAAATTGCCTAAGCATATAAAAGTTTGCTAGACGCTTGCAAAAAAAAAACTGACCTTTTATAGATTGTTCCGTTTAACGTTTTCTTCTGAGAAGAAGTTTTAAGTGTAAATTTTTGAAATAAGAAACAAAAAAAGAATTTTGGTGTTACTCTGGAGCAAAAAAACAGAAACATTTATTTTATTATTTCTAAAAATAAAATTTAGCTGAAGTACCTTACCTTAATACCTTGCCAACTTTCGATGTTCATCCTTGTTTGTAGCATTTCATACAAACAGTCACCGCTTATCACCATAGTCATAACAATTGTTAAGCAGGTCTTTTTTTTTTTCAGGTCTTATTTAGAAAGGTTAAACTTTTTCAAACCACTACCTTACACTCAATTATTCCTGTGTTTGCTTGCTAAAGATTTTTCTTTTTTTTCGCAAATACAGTAGTATCAGTTAGTTGATAAAGCGCAAACAGTTAAATGTCGAAAATACGGCGAACGATGAGCAGAAGAAGACCGAAATCCAAACTGTGCCCGTATTATTTGAATGAGCGATTGCAAACTAATGATGGTTACGTTGTGATTATATACTGTGAAAAGCTGTTGATAATATTTTTTTCTGTTCTGTTCTCTTCTCTCCTTCCGAATTTTTTGATGTTTGTGACGACGGCAAACAGAGAGAGCACACAGCAAACTATGTCGATAACAACAAATTACAATCAGGTCAAATCTTAGGGTGTTTGATAAGAATTCATCATCGAAAGAAAAAAAAAAAATTTTTTTTTTTTTGGTCTATTTAGTGCATATGAATAAAATTATGTACAAATTATTTGATCAACATCTTATAAGCTTGTTACATAGTTTACTGCTTAAAAAAACCTAGCTGTACAGCTAATCCAAGCAAACTGTCAAAAAAAGCGTAAATAATCCTTCAAATAAGCGATGTCATACATTCACCAAAACTACACTGTAGCTGGTAATTTGACTTTTTGCTCGAGATCTTAGACTTTTTTTTTTTGAATACAGCTTTTATCAAACAAGACAATCTATTTTTAGATAAAAAAAAAAGGAAAAACACTGATTAAGTTGACTAGCAAAAAAATGACCTAGCTTTGCTACTTTTTAATCAGTCGTTCAAAAAGAAAACTCTTTTTTTTTTTTGCTTTTATTTAATGACAATTTCTTATACAATTAAATAAAAGATTAAAATTTAGAGTTGAATAAATCAAAACAATAAGTTAAATTGTTAGAATTTTTTACGCTTAAAATATGTTAGTTCTGACTTTCTTTCAAATTTTCAACCCAAAAATTTTATGAAAAAAAATTTGTTTTTAATTTACAATGTAATATTGGCTTCTACTCAGTATACTAACCAAACAGTTAGCTGTATTTTAATGATAAACTACAAGCAACAATTTTTTTTTTTGTGTTTGATCATATCATTTTATTTATTTTTCAAAATCTGACGCCCTTTTTTGTTCTAATAATCTTTTACTACTTAGTAAAGCAGAATATTTTACTGAAAAAAAAAAAAAACTGTTTTCCCTAATCTTTCTTCCCCAACTGCTGTGCAACAAATTTTAGAGGACAACTTTCAATTGGAATGTTGCCGTCGATAAATAAGTGAAGTGTAAGGCAACAGCAAAAGAATAAGAGAAAAAATGTGGAAAAAATAAATATTTTTTTATAGCTACAAAAATTTTCGTTTTTTGTTTCAAAAATATGTATTATTAAACTGGCAAATTAAAGAATATACTTGAAACTTGATTGTATTTGATACGTTATAGGCTTTTCAATTTGACACTAAGAAATAAAGTGTAAAATTTTGCAAGTTAAGACAAATAGCAATGCACAACTGAACTGTTATCGGAGACTCAATAGTGACCAAATTCTTTAACAGATATCTATATGTTTTTCTTTTTTTTCTGTAGTCTTGAAGGATAATAGCTCCTAAAAGCTGCCTTCGTAATCAACAAGCAAAATTACTGTTCAATATGAATTGAAACTTGCAGCTTGACTATTTTCTGCTAAATTATACCAGTCGAAATCGATAAAAAACGATTACAAAAGGTATAAAAGTTAAAAAAAGCAGAATAAGCTTTGTGAGAGCAATTTACTCAGACTGCTGCATTGATAAAGTGTAAAACAAACGACCAAGAGCAGTTCTAACGAGACGGTTTCTTTAGCACGGTTAAATTAAAGCACAAACTTTGACTGCCAGTCAGCTGTATATCAGATATAATCTTAAAAATAAAAATAACCAAAATAACAGTTTTGTTGTAGTCAAAATTAACATAAAAAGAAACTAAGCCGATAAATGAGGTATCAGAAGACAGTGGAAACAAGAGCAGAAATGAGGAAAAAAGCTTCTTTTTTTAATCATTTTTACAATCTTCTGAATATCTTTTTCCAAATTTTTCACAATAATAGATTTTTAGAAGAAAAAATTTGTAACAGCTGTCAAAATCGCAGACAGGTTGACATGTTGGCAGTATAAAGGTTACATTATTTTTGGTTTTACTGTTAAGTACCAAATATTCAAGTATTCTTCTGAAAAATCAATTTTACCAACGGTTTTTGATATTCCTCTTATTTTGAACTTTTTGATTTGATTTATTTCATTGATTTAAAGATTTGTTTTTGTCTTTGTGAAGAAAAAACAGACAAAAAAGTCTTTTCAGAAGAAAAAAATGCCTCTTTTATTTGACAACTAATAAATTTTTATTTTTTTGATTAATTGAACCATAAGAAGTGTAAAAAAAAGCGTAAAGAAGCGAATTTTTTTTTGCAATTATTATAACAAAAAAAAGGCTTTTTTTGCTTAATAAAACCACTTAACAATTATTTCAATTTTGGTAGTTAAACAATTATTTAACAAAAAGAATTTTTTTGACTTTTAGAGTAGTACAGTAAATTGAAGTTGAAGTATTCATGTGTTAAGGTGCCATTAATCAGTAATTATGTAGTAACTTGTATGTTTCAATATTTATAACGATATGATAAATAAGTTACAGAAAAAAGAATAAGATTAAAGTTTTGTCTTCAGCACTATTAAAATCGTAACTGTTTTGCTTCTGTTTATGCAACTCTGTAAGTTTTTGTACGTCTTTAATGAACTGACAAATGAACTTCTGTAAAAGTTTCTGTTAGAAAATGTCATTGAAAAAAAAGATTTTTATTCCAAAGTAAAAATTGTATCAGTTTTGAACATCTGTAATTTCATTTATATACTTCTCTAAAAAGTCAGAAAATGTAGTCTAGCTAACTATTTTTTGAAAACAGATTACTTGTTTTGACCTATGCTGACGTCACAAGCGTGAGTTTATTTGAATGTATCAGAGTTGTATAGGCTGACAGAAGTGTTTAATTTTATAAAAAAAAAAAAAAAAAGAACCAAAACAGATTAAGTCTTGTCTAGTTCTGAACCGTTTATTATAATGTCATTTGCCAATCGTCAAAAAAATACTTCACTTTTATTTTCGCTACTGTTTGGTTCCAAGAAAAGATGCTAAATAAGTTGTAGAAACGATTTTTGAAAAAAAACTTTTAGGCAACAATTTTTGACAATAAGCTTTCAAGAAAGTTTGTTTTTAGCTTGATATTTAGCATTTTAGTCAGGATAAGTTAAATAGTAGCAAAAAATTAAATAGAATTTGGAATTATTTACAAAAATTATAGAATATCAAAAAAGGACAGTTTTAGAACGTTGTTGATTAAAAGTTGCCAAATAAAAGACTAACAAAGTACAAATTGTCCACTAAGTACAGATTCACCTTAGATGACGCCATTCTAAGAATGACAACAGCAGTTTCCGATATACCTAAGTTACCTAAGTGATCATTTTTAACATCAGAATTTGCTCACTGCTCAACGCTTTTACCTGAAGACAATTAAATTACAAAGCTCATATTTGTGAATTTGTTCTTTTTTCTTGTGCGTTTAAATTTTACAACAAAACAGTTAAGTAAATGTCAATCTGAATAACAGTCAAAAATTTTAGAAATTTTTTCAGGTTGAAAAATTGTTAAACGAAGTTGAAGTGGACATTAAATTACTCGTACCCTTCATTCGTTTTGTTAACTGTTTAGCAGCTTTTGTCTAGTTTTTGAATCTAACTACTTGAAAATTATTTGTTTTTAATCAGCTCTAAGAAGCAACTTTGAGCTAGAGTGATGTGCTTTTTAATGCGGTTGGCGATAGTTCTGCTGCCAAATATCGGGCAAATATGGTTGAAGTCTAAATGTAAATTTCCTTTTCTGATTTCTGTTCTGCTGATTGAAAAGCAGACTAGAAAATTTTTTTGTATCTTCTGCAATGTGCATTTTTATCAGCTGAATTTCTATGTACTTTGTACCTTAATTACAACTATTGCTTAGGTGTAAAAGAAAGTAAAAAAACTAACAAAATATGTGTGTCATATTCTTTAGAGTACGTTGCCAAAAACGAGAAAACAAAACTTTTTATAACCATTCTGTTTGTCAACGTAATTTAGCAGAAAATTTTGGTAGTGACAATAAATTATGTCAGAAAATATGATCCTTTCTTGTCTGAATACTACGACTTGTGAAATAAGATTAAAGAACGTTGTTTACAGAAACCAATTTTTCCCCCCTTCTTTAGCACTGATAATGATTGTTGTGTTTACATATGATATTTAATAAACACAGTTAGCAACTATTGGTTTTATCACTTCTTTTGTTGTCATTGTTTATTTTTTGTGAAAATGTTAAGTTGCACTATAGTTAAAATCAAAGTGAAAAAAGTGTTTAGTAAACAAATGCTATCAGTGTAGTAAACTGAAGAAAAATTTAAATACAAAACAAACAACAAATAAAATATCACTTTTGCTGCACCTAAGTACATACTTGTCACTTCTTTTCCGTTTTAGTTTTTGTTGAATATCTGTTCAAATTTGAAATTTTCAAGACAGTTTTTACCGCAGTTACTGTAAGTGATAAGAGTTAACAATAACGTCGGCTTAAGCGACTAATTTGGTTCTAATTATCAGACAAGAACATGGTGTTCTTCTGATAGTCTATTTAGCAAATATTCTGTTTGTAAATATCAATTAAAGCAATAGTTGTTTAACTTAAAGATTACAGTTTTTTTAATTATATGGTATTAGCTGTTTCTCGACGTACTCTAAAAGGCTTTTTTTTCTTCTGCTGCTTTTTTTTTTTTAAAGATCAAAATCATTGGTAACAACTATTCAAAATGTGACTGAAAAAAAAAAAACTGCGAATGTGTTTGTTCACTTTTACTTCAGCAATAAAAAATTAAGTGACAATATTTCACGGAACTTAATTACAATA